GCTTTGGGGAAGTGCTCCACTCCCCGGCCCTGACGCCACGTGCCTCCTCGCTCCCTGAGGCGAAGCGGCAGAACAGAGCAGTTTCCTTGAAGCTTGCAGAGCCTGCGCCAGGCCCGGGCTCTGGCCCCCAGCCTCCTTCAGTAAATGCCCCATGCCAGACCAAGGGGAACATTGCTGTCCAGTGATCGAGGATTTTGCTGCTGCAGATGCTCCCCTTCACCCTCAGGTCACACATGTCCACCAGCAATGGATCCAGTCATTTTTTGATGCCCTCCTTCAGCTACTTCACCAGTGCCTGCACCTCTGGTGAAAGCGGCATCCCCAGCCAGGAACACTGATTCCCTGGAGCTTCTCCATTTGATTCTCAAGCTCCTTCACTATGGGGATCGCCTGACTAAGGAGGGCATTGCCAGCACTGAGGCTCTCGGTGGCCTTGAGGAACGGCTTGAGGACCACCAAGATATGGGAGATGGTATTCCACTCAGTTTTGTTAAGGGTCCCGCTGATCCCAATCTCCCTGAGCAAGGCCATCTCATGGACGGCCTTCTGTTGCTTGACCAGCTTTTCAAGCATCAGGTATGTGGAGTTCCACCGAGTCTCCACATTTTGCATGATTTTGTGCTGTGGGATGCTCAGCTGTGCCTATTTGTCCCACAGCATCTTGTCCCTCTTGATGCGCTGGTGGAAGTAGCCCGCCACCTTCCTGCATTTCAAAATGAGCTGGCTGGTAGTGATGGTGCCATCACTGGGAACTCTGTCCTGCTCCAAGGCATCCCTGACTATGAGGTGGAACTGCTGACATCCACTGTGTGGCACACAAAAGTTGGCATCATGGACTGCCTTGACCATGTTGGCCCTGTTGTTAGTGACCATGAACCTGCAGGTGAGCTTGCATTGCCCAACGAGCTACTCCTGCACCATGCAGTTCATGGCCACCATGATCTCTCTTGCTGTGTGAGACTCATCCATCATTTCCGCTTGAAAGAGAGCCCACTGACACCCTGACTGATTGCACCAGTGCCCTGTGAGGGAGAGGTAGGCATGATCTCCACCCTGGCTGCTCCAGATGTCTGAGGTGAAGTGTAAAGCTACCTGTGACCCTGCCTTCCACAGCTCCTCCCTCAAGTATTCCCTGCATACCTCATACAGGGAGGGCACCACTGTCCTGCTAAAGGTGGTGCATGTGGGCACTTGGTAGGATGAGGCCACAAGTGCCATGAGCTACCTGAACCCTGGAGGCTCAATAAAGGAGAAGGGCTGGCCATCAAGAGCAAGCATCTTCCCAGTGCTCTGAGTGACCTCACTCACCCCTGCAATGCGCTCCCTTTGTCTGCAGCTTTCTCCCACCACTCCAGGGTGGCCTGCCTCTGCTTCATGGGGCCTTGGAGCGAGAGGGGAACTTCTTTTTGGGCATGCTCCTACTGGTGCCAGGCTGAGGAGGAACAAGGGCAAAGGGGTGCTGCCTCCTGAGATGCAGCAGCATCACCGTGGTGATGAAGTGTTTCACCTCCTTGCCCCAGCTGATCTGCCTTAAGCAGTGCTGGCAGGTAGCTGGCTGGGATCATCTGCCACTTCAAAATGATTCCACACTACACTATCCCTCTGGTTCTGGGTTGAGGGTGGGGATCCTGCCTTATCCCCGTCTTCAGCAGGCAGAGGCACAACAGCAGGGGAAGCTGAGCCACCTGCCCCTACAACCTCCTCTGAGGTGCCTTCCAGAAGAGACCTGCCTGTAGGGGAACTCTGAGGGATGTGGAGCACAAACTCAGATTCCCCCTCCTTCCGCAGAATTTCCCTAGCTATGGCACTCAGCTCCCTTGCTTCCAGATCCAGCTCCTTCTCTGGCACTGGGAGGCTCCCAATGGGAGCTGAAATTGGGGAGGAGGAGACTGTCATGCTGGTGCTGGTGGCTATATCTGGAGTTAGTGCAGGTGGTGCAGGTGCACCACTGGCAGCAGAAGACTCATTGCTGCTGGGAAAGAGGGTGCATCTGTTTGGGGGGTGGGGAGCTTGCATCTCTCCTCCTACCCCCTCTAGCCCCTCTCCCTCCCCTGCCAGAAGACCTGGCACCTGCCTTTCCCTCACGCTTCATAATGTTTGATGTGCTGGAAAATGTGTGTGTATGTGTTTGATATGTGTGTGTGTGTAATATATCTTCTATCTGTAATATATCTTCTGTTTAATATATGTGTGTGTAATATATCTTCTATTTGTAATATATCTTCTATCTGTTTAATATACGTGTGTGTGTGTGTAATATATGTGCTTTCTTGCACAGTGATGGATGACACACACTGCCAGGGAAAACACAGCTTTCTTTTTAAAAAGTGTGTGCGTGTGTTGGGAGGCGGGGAATAACAAGAACAAATAAGAGGATTTTGGGGAAAGAATAAGTTGAAAGGAACAGATCGGATAGGGATAAGTAGAGGGATTCTAGGCAAGGGTAATTACTAAGGTGCATCCAATCCTTTCCAAGAAGAGAGACTAGCAAGAGACTGACTAGGAAGCCAGCCTCTGCAGCCAGTACCTTTGACACGCTGTTCCTTCCAGACAGAGAAAGCTCACAAAAGGCAGAGAAAGGTTTCACACAGAGCCTTATATGCTGTTTCTATGTCCCTTCTCCAGAGCACTGTGATTGGAAGGGAGCTCAGGGAAAGATCACAGTCACTGGCCAGCTACAGATGTCAATATTAGAGCAGTCTTTCCCCCCCCCTCCTCTTCGCCTTCCTCTTCTCAGTTTCTGTTTCCCCGGAAGACCACCTTCCAAATCGCCAAATCTTTTCTGCATCTTTTCCAAATCAGTTCGGATGCTTTGGATCAATTCGGAGCTTTTAATGGGTCTCCCAATTCGATTCAGATTCAATGATTTGGCTGCTGAATTGGGCCAAATCTTCTCTAAATTGATTGGCGACTGAAGCTTCTCACATCCCTACTGTGCGGTATACAAGGGCTGGAAGGAATTGAGAGAGAGTGGGCTGGATAGAAGTGGGGCTGGGAGTGAACAGGGGAAGGGGAGGACTGATGGGCAGGGCCTGGGGCTGGAAGGGTGTGCTGCTGCCCTGGCCAGAAAGTCCACGGGGGCTAGGGGTGGCAAGGCCATCCCACCATCTATGTCCCACTTACCTGCTCAGCTGCTGCTCAGTTAACTCTGCCCTGCCAGACCCTGCTACAGTCATGTAAGTGAGAGGGCAGC